TTTTTTTATTACCTCTGTTTAGGTACAAAGCTAAAAGTTGTCGTCCAATCGATACCAGGTGGTCCGCAACTTACCACTGATAGAAAAAAATATACTTAGAAATGTCACGTAGATTTCGAAATAGTGGTTCATTTATTATTCATGCAAAAGTATACCCCGTGACAGTCTTTTAACTTTTTGCTGCAAACTAGGACAACCTGTACAGAATTTATTTGTGTATGTCGGTTTGTGGTGTTTTGTTTTTTAAATTGTATGAAAGTATATTAAACGAAACGAGAACAAACTAATTGAAAACACAATTGTGATGACCTCAAAAGCCCTAGTGCGGGATTCGAAACATTTACTTTATAAAAAAAAACATTTTAATAAAACTTTTCGTTATAACTTCACTAAAACTCATTGTTTGCCTTTAAGCAAGTATTATACGTTATTGCTTTGTTATAAAGTCAAAAATTTAATGTAGCAATTAGACAGGTTTAGGTAGGTAAGCCTTTAACATGGCCTACGATATCGGTAATGTCTTTATTGCGTAGCACTAACAACTATTTTTGTATTTACATACGTGTAATTTAAAAATATTATTATGTTTTATTCGACACAGAATTAAAGAACTTTTGGTAAGGTGAGGTTACTAAACGTACCAATAGGTATTTTTGTAATAGTTACTAAGCAACAAACTTAGGTCAATGAACTTAGTCCTATGAATATTAAACAGGCTCTACTAAGGTCAAAAAGTCATTGCCAAACATTTGTTTTCGATCATAATAATAATTACAAAAACTTTTTTTTTTCTTATATTAAAAGTTGACTCTTCAGCTAATCGTATGAGCAATTTTAATTGGACACGACACCACGCTAAAAATATTGACCTTTTTGGTAAATGAAAATGATTAATGATTCCTTATTAGCTTTAACTACAAAGTTTTTATCTGTACTGGTGGTCCTGTGATTTTTGAAGATAATTGACATTGAATACCATACAAAGTTATTTGTAGTATGTATTTTATATCAAATGGATAAATAAAACAAAACAACATCGAATCTAATTTTTATTTCGTCGCTTTTAGGACCCCTACATAAGAAAAATACAACAATGCCAAAAGATAAGAATTCCATTCGTTTCACTACTATGAAAATTTTTATATATTTATAATATTCATCGTCACATTATGTTACACGACGTCAATACTAAAGATGAACACAATTGTGAATACAAGAAAATGTTATGTGTATATTAATTTATAAAAGACATTAACTGAGAATCTGAAAAAGTAACAAATATTTTCTAAACCATATTGGACACAGTATAGAGCCTTGTAACACACCATTACATTGTATAGAAGATGTATTACTTCAATATAATAAAAATTCATAAATATCGCATCACGTGTATTGTTTGCTTGTTGTGATCTAATTATTAAATATTTCACATTTTAAATAATCGCGTAATAACAATAAAGTGAATTTTGTAGAACTAACGACTTTATCAAACGCCTTCTATGGGTCTGAAAAAAGAAGAAAAAATGAAATCACTTACTTGCTCTCAATTCTATACACACAAAACACATTGATATTCACAAATGTGTACATAAACTAAAAAGATAGTATTACAGCATCAAATGTACACATTTTATGTACATATTAAGACATTCGAAGTTGTAAAAGCTACCTTACATTAGATTACTGACAGAATAGATACATTTCATAAATAAATAAAGAACACAAATAATAAAAATCTTTAATAAACGAAACGTATCTGCTTTGTACTTTAAGAGCTCTATTTAAATTAAATAATAATGTACAAATATGGAGGTTAAGCATAAACTTTGGAATTATGGTAAACTACGGTAATTGAAAGCTGGGTGTTAAGTCATTAATGATATTTTTTCTTGAATGTAATTGAATTTTATTAACAATTTTTAAAGAAAAGTTTCTTCATTCCAATATTTACTAGGTCCAGACAAATATAGGTACGATTTTTTATGGGATAAGCCGGTAGACGGGCAGCAGGTTACTTGGTGGTAAGCAATGGGCGTCACCAATAGACACCCCGAACACCAGAGGCGTTACAAGTGCGTTACCGGCCTATTGGGTATTAGGAATTTGAGGATTGTTGGGGATTCAGGGAATAAGGAGATTGGGAATGTGGAGGGAGGGTAAGAAGGTAATTTGAACTACTCTACTACTTTAAACTAAAAAATATAGTTTCCATTCAGTATGAATATCAGTTTCACAGAATAAATACTAACTATCAGCAAAATCAACCAATAAGACTTACATTTCCAATTATGTATTAAAATCTCTTGGAAAAAATATACCTAATCGTGAACACCAATTAGAAGAATTAAGTTGCCCCGCCCGCGGGGATCCTTTTATTAGGTACCAGACCTGTTGACCTGAGTGAAATTAGATACATTTTGAACATAACTTTCTAACAAATTGAGTGCCGAAAAAACGAGAATTTTCGTAAAAGAGATTTGGTAATGAACTCCCTGATAGAAATCATGTTCGTTGAACAATTTAAGACTTTCTTAATTACTGATTAATATAGTGATAGCAAATCATTTTAACGCAAAAGAACTTATTGTATGTATATAAGTATATGTAACTTAGATTCTATTTTTTTATATTTTATTATATTATAAAAAGTTGAAACAATTGGTTTTTTACTGAGGAAACTGCCCAGTTCCAATTGAGAGAGAAATTTTCTTTCATAAATCTTTTTAATAACATTATTCTCGTATTCGAAAATTGGAAAGTTTACATATACTCTTTACTTTATTATATAATTACATATATATATATATATTCGTTTGCATCTAGGACCATCCTATACTTGAGGAACACGATCGGCTTGTATAAATAATTCATTTTTAGCGTGCTGGTCGATGATGGAATATTTCATGCATGCCTTACCTAGTACACTTAAGTTACGTTTCAGATAAAAATGGATCCACGTTGATCGTAAAATTATGTATATTTTACGTTTCCGATCGTATTATTTTGCAAAATTTTGTTGTTTCTCTTTAAACCAAGCTAGAATAGGTTATAATATAACATGTGTTGTATTAAACACGATAAATGTGAAGTGTTTTCTTTGGTACCATACTTTTAGTTAGACTTTTATCAAATAAAAATGAAATATGACAATTTTAAATGACAGTTAGACTGACAAACAAAAGTGTATAAAATATGAATTCGTCCAAATTACTTTTAAATTTCATGAATGACTTAACTTCAGGTTTCTGACGCTGAAACATATTAAAATCACGACTTGCATGTAAATATATTTTTTAATATTCATACATACATAACGTTTATTTACGAAAATTTATATATTATTGATATTTTAATATACTTCAACGTTAATAATTTAACGAAATATAACTACAAAATAATAGATTTTGAAGAAAAGATGGCAGAATGCGGCATTAATCTTATCTACAAGATTTACAAAATGAACTTTATATAATACAATACATCTAAAAAGTATTGAGAAATTTTTGTGGTCAATCATTTATTTATAATTTATTAAATACACCTAATAAACAACCACGATATATTTATTCACATTTGAAAGAAACTACACAAAAGAAAATTTTAGTATGTATACTTTATTAATTAAAAACATTAAATTGAACTGTCAAATTATTTTTTTTCCAAGCGTAGTTTCCCCACACGGTTACTGCGATATTACATATTCACTTATCTATTATATATGTATTATACACTTATTTACCATTATTATATAATATATTTACTTGTAATGTCATTAGTTTTATTAACAATATTTACAACACTGACTTCTGTTCTAAGTTTATCTATCTTCAAACCAAAATTAATAAAAAAATAAATTCAAGAAAATTGAATCACAAAAGTTAATATAATTATTAATCTTAATACATATGTAGTTGTGAAGAAATAGAACCATAGTTTCTGTTGAAGTTACAAGGCGTTTTGAACTTTAGTGCTTGAAGTTAAGAGTTAATACATTATGACATAGGATAGGACCAGTAGTTAAATTAAAATGTATTATTTTTACGCATATTTTATAATATTCTACGCCTATTACAATTTATTATACGGGTTTATTATTATTTTATATGGCAGTGCCTATGTTTGTAGTAATTTAACCACATGTTGTCCGGTAAGATACTATTTTTATTAATATTTACATAATTAATAATTACATAATACAATATATTAGATGAGGAAATTAATCTGATAAATATATATATATATATATATTAATCAATGTTATGAAATCTAACCAAGAATAGAATTCTATATCTACTATCACATGGATTAATACTTCTGACTAATTTAATGTCATAAACATAATTAATTATTTATTTAACAATAATATACATTTCTATTTTATTCTTTATCAAATTCACAACATCTTATACTTGTAAAACCTCACGTTTCAAGTTAATATTACACCTCTTTGGTCATTCCAAAATTATTAAATAATAACAATAATAATACATTCACATTCTATTATTATTATACTAAAAGTGACGTAATATACCATGTGACTTACCGTAATTATCTACTTAATAATAAAATCGTACAAGTTACTTGAGGTCCATTTATATTTGCAAAGAGAAAATGGTTTTGGTACAACGGATACACATAGACATTATGGTACAATTCATTTACACTACACAGATAATAAAAATGACACAACATTATGTCACTGTCAAATAATGTTACAAATATTTACAATAGCAACTATTTTATCATCTAATACTCATGTCACACTTTCTGCTTGCACATATAAAATGGTTTACTACTATGTATTTTACACAAACGAAACCTCGATTACATTTTTACGTAAGTAACGACTAGTTGGGTAGAAACAGCCTTTTATAATACACAAGTTATTAAAACGAACGAAATCGATTAAATCAACACTGTTAGACCGCGGTACTATTATAAAAAAGTCTTCTTTAGATCACAGTATCTAGGTCTCTGGTAGCGACCTCTGGCATTGACAATCATAGAAAACTCTCTGAAGCTCTTGTCTCCTCCCTATCGACGGCAGAAACTATTTCTACCCCCTCCTCGTAATTGTGCATTTTGGTAGTATTGTTCACACAGTAATGTTGGTCAGGGTCACCATACTGACTGTGGTAGAACTCCTCACGCATCATGTGGTTCAGATTGCCACAACGGAAGAACAGGATTTCTTGGAACGGCTTTCTGAAGTCTCGGTTCAGTGTCGCGTATATGACTGGGTTGAGCAAACTGTTCAGGTAACCCAGCCAGAGGAAAAGCGCACTCACCGCATCGGGAATAGCATCTTCTTTCACAAATGGTCTAATTAAAGCTAACACGAAAAACGGTAGCCAGCAGATCACGAATGCAGACATGATGATACCGAGGGTTGTAGACGCTTTGCGTTCTTTGGCTAATTGAAACCGCAGTTTTTTCTGATGAACAGCGTTCTGCGGATGTAGCAAGTCTTTGGCGATATGGCTTTTATGAGCAAAGTTCGAGAGCGACGAACGGATCCTGTTCGTCGTGGTTTTCTGACTACTCTCCGAAGGCTGTCTTTGTCTCTCCTTCACCGCTAGTTTCCCGGGCACCAGCTGTGTGGGTGACCGGTTTATGGTGTGAATAGGTTTTGTTGGAGTCTTTGGCTGTTGCAACATTGGACACTGCGACTCGTTCGACTTTCTTTGGCCACTAAAGCATCTCCCGATTGTGCTTTCTGTTTTGTCTACGCTACACTGTAACAAAAATAAAATATTTTAGTCGCAAAGAGTACATAAATGGCCTTAAAGTTGTTGATGAACAAAGTAAAATGATATTCATAGAAATTACTACATCATCGATTATCGCACTTGAACATCACGCCTTTTATCTCCGAAGACATGGGCAAATGACATTACGGCACTTAATGCCACTGTACAATATAACACCAACTTTTCCCTATTTATGTTATGAGTCCCATGTAATAGGGGGTAAACCTATTGCCATATATTGGGCACAATTCCAGACTACGTGCTACTACTGAGAATTTTTTAACAAACCCAGTAACACTTTGCCCGACCCGGGAATCGAATCCCAGACCCCTTGCCCGGCAGTCGCACTTGCAACCACGCGGCCAATTATTTTATGTTAGGCGGTAATTATTTTATTAAAGTTTTAAAGTATAAAGCACGACTTTATTATTGCAATATTTATTTTCTCTTGAGGAGTGAAACAGTGAAACACTAAACAATTTATACGAGTAAGCTCACCGTTGTATTCGTGCTCGCCGTGGATCCTCTCGGGGGAGGCTGAGCCGGCTGGTTGCCCAGCAGCTTAGCTTCCGCGGCTCCGCCATTCTTCACATTTATTTCCAAGTAACAGTGCGTCTCCAAGTGTGATTGAGCACGTTTCTCGTCTTTAACAATCTTCCTAGCAGCTCTAAATATTTTATAATAGACCACGATCATTACAGTCAACGGTATGTAGAATGAACCAAAAGTTGCATAGATTTGGTACGCCTGATTCTGTGACACAGAACAGGAGGTGTCAGTCTTCTCATTTCCTAGGATAAGGACCGGAGGGAGGGAAATGAATGCGGCGCTTATCCATACGATGAAAACACAAAATAGCATCCTCCGAGGTGTTCTCTTCACACCGTACTCCAGAGGCTTCGTAATTGCATAGTAGCGGTCCACAGAGATCATGCACAAGTTAAGAATGCTAGCGGTGCAGGATAGTACGTCACTTGATACCCAGAAGTCGCATATGACCGGTCCAAAAGGCCACGTTCCCATAATATCATAGACGGTGGCTACTGGCATCACAATACAGGCCACACACAAGTCGCTCACTGCCAGCGATACAATCAAGTAATTACTAGGCCTTCTTAATTTCCTAACTAAGCGTACTGCAACACAAACTAACACATTTCCTATTATAGTTCCAATTATAACTATCAAAAATATTGTGACTAAGAGAATAGTAGTAGGTATGGAATATTTCGAATGCTTGATATGGCCGTGCTTCAAGAATGTGGAGTTGTCGTCTAGGAACGTCCAGTTCACCGTTGCGTTTGGGTTACTTACGTTGAACTCTGGGCTTAGAATTGATTCTAGTTCAACCGAGGCTAGTGCCGGTTGCAAAAAGATGGATGCCAGTACGAGAAGACACGAAGGTAAAGCAACAAAGCTAGGCAGTGAACGGTAGGAGTTATGACTTTGAGTCGCCATACGAATCCCTGGTTTGGGTGACGATTAATTTGTTCGTTATCCTGACGTAACCATACATTGGTTTTGTTTCTCCCTTTGTTTAGTTACGATATCTAAATTTGCTTTACGAATCAAGTCTGGAATATGACCTCGTCGCGAAGCTTTTTGGTCTTAAAATGGCGCGCTTGATTACAATTGAGAATACACTTTAATTGACATAGTGCTTGGATTGTGTTTTCAATTCGGAGCAGAGCCATTTGACTACGTGATGTTGAGGGATTGTGGTCGTTGTGGCGTTCTGGTAGGGTTTGTTTTTGTTTGAATGTGGTCTGTGATGGAGTTAGCAGGGGTATGTTGTTTTATTGCGCGAGGAAGGTGGCGCGAGCGGCTGCTACTCCAATATCCCGTTTGCGGATTGCTTCATTAGTGCCGTTGATTGGTGAAGAAAATTTCCGATCTGAAAAGAAAAGAAACAGTTTTGAAGGCTTTCAAGTACACAAGATAATTATGATGTTAGAGTAGAACCTTTTTTATTGCAATGTGGTTTTAGTAAATAAAAACAAGAACGAAATGTACATGTAACTTTTTTATTTACTCGCAATAATAAACCCGAATTCAGAGTGACATTTCTCAGTACCTTATTTAAATATTTATTATGAAAATCCGGGACTCAAAGTCAAGATGAAAGTGGCAATATAGTAAACAAATATGACCCATAATATCCGTCATAAGATTGACATATTTATTCGTTCCCACTCAGTATGTTATTAGATTCTCTCATGTGTATCATGAAGTGACTATTTTTGTGGTATCTTTTGAGACAAAATATTTATTATTAGGGACCTATTTCATATCACTAGTTTCTAGTTCGATGGAGCGTTAATTTCTTTATTTTTGATGAGAGATGGCAATACTAAAATAGCACCCGAACGATATAATAATATAATATATTTCTATTACAAGATTTAGGTGTACCTCTTATTAATACATAATATATGTATCATCTTCAATTGTTTCATGAGTGTCAATAATATCGCAGTGCAAAGCAAATACTATACAATACGAGCAGATAATTTATAGAAACTGATTTCCCGAAATTGTACGTAAAACTTTGAAAGTTCATGAAATATCCTGCCTACATATGATAGATAGCAATACAATAGCGACATTTCAAGCTTAATTGTCGTTCCGACGTGAAACAGCACATTTAAACCGAAAGTCATTAACCGAAGCGCCTCGTCACGGTTATATTGAGGCCATGATTATAAAAGTCAACAGAGGCTTAAGTTAGAAAATACGGTAGCATAGATAGGACACAAGGCTGCAGACGATGACTTTATAAAATTTTCAATCATGTTCCATTTTATTTGACCTAGTGATCGTAAGTATAAGTACTCTGAGCTTGGTGTTGGCCTAAGACTTCGGAATACGTAGAACTAGGGTAAAATCTAAAAACCAATCAGATGATTGAAATTAGGTCTCCGGAACACCAGGGCATAGAAAGTAATAAACAATAAACCATTGCAATTATTATGTCTATTTATTTATTAGAATTTTTAATGTATTTAAGGGTAGTTTAAGTTTCATACAGTCCTTGCCAGATGATCCTATTACGCAAAGTAAAGAGATAAGCATAAAATACATTTAAATTACAAAAAAAGCATGAAGTGAAATGTGTACTGGAAAAGACAATGATTACGTCATTATTTTCATTCCATATTAATTTTCGAATTGCGATTTTGCCAACCATAGTACTCTGTCAGTTAATTTACTCGTGTGACGTAGTACGAATGTTAGCAGAACAATGAGGATCGGGTAAAGCTATTTTACAAGGGAAATTATAATCCACATTTGCTTTATTGAATTATGAATATGATCATTTTATGCCGCTTTGTAACTACACTGGAATTTCATTTCTTCTTGTTGATTTTGAGGTTATGTTTAACAATTAACACGCACCCTTTATGTTAGAATAATTACTTTTAAATCTTTGTTGGATGTTTAAAATATAATCAGAGAATTAAATGTCGTTTAAATATAGAGTGAATTATAATCAAAATATCGAAGACATATAGACACAATAAAGAACAATAGGTTGCGGTCACCGGTGTCCTCGCGGTATTTGACAGTTTAATATAGTGGAATTAATCACAAAAGTGATGAAAACCGTATGCCAATTACTATCTTTGTTAAAAATATAATGATATTTTAATATATCTTTATATTTTATAATTTTGTGAGATAAATATAATAATCATAATTAAAATATCATTGTTAACAATATTGGCATTGGTACATTAAGTTTACAATATCACTTTAATTATCGTTCAAAAATTGGATATTGCTCGTTATGCTTCAATTTTAATCAATTCGAGAGCATATTGATGATCGGGTATATCCATCGGTTTTTAATTGAAGGTACCAATCGTCCGTCATACTCGACATTCAACTCGAAGCGACGACGGGTCTTTACAAAACCTTTCTGTTTTGAAAAGATTAATTTTAAGCCTAATAGGTCGCTTTGTCGGTCGAGTATCTCAGGTACTTCTCTATAATAGTAATTATTTGAATTAATTTATCAGTATCATGGTGGTGAAAGTCATTCAAAAATGAAGCTCCCACCCAGGTGAGGCAAGAGGGAATGTCAGACTTACTGACTAAAAACTATACCGTTTCTACTCCTGCACGTAGCGCCGAAGCGGAGTTGCGAGTTCGCAACTGATATGGGGTATACCAACAGACTATATTGGTATTAAAATTGCAGACAAAAACATGTGAAACAAACGTTTGAAATTAACAAGAATTTATTCCATTAAATAAACCAACGAAAACATTCCTTAATATCCGTACAGAAGTCTCGACTAAACCAATATTTCTCTTTGTATCTGAACAATTTTTACAATTATAAGGAGGTCCCCAAAGGAAATTAAGAGGAAAAAAAATATTTTATTCTTAGTTGATTTAATAAAACCATTACAAAGAAAAACTTTGGACCAATTCCACCACGAGCTAAGTGCTTACCCAGGAAGGAAATCAATTAACCTTTTTCGAACGTTTATTGTTTAAAAAATACAATAGCTTTTATTATTATCAGAGAAAAATGGCAATAAATCACTTTCCTGCTTAGTATTTGATACCCTTTGACATGATGTTTTTTTGATAATACCTACGTCCGTCATATAGATAGCATATTTCTGATAGCATTGCCTCCATTACATTTATTCTTTTTTGAAAACACTTTGCTCACTCATGGACAACAAGATTTTCTTTTGCCGTGTGTGTCCTACCTACCTACTGTGTATTTGTAAGGACACACACGGCAAAAGAAAATCTTGTTGTCCATGTACCTACACCTAGTATTTTTTTTTATTTATTTATTTATATTAGGCAACGAAAATAAAATACAATAATACCTACTACAATTTTAACTTATATGTACTACAATTTTAACTTAAAATATTAATAATATCTACTACAATTTTAACTTAAAATACTATAAATACATAATGTAAGTAATACATTTAAATACTAATAATCACGACTATTGTGCTGTATCGGCGTCGTGTGCTGCGCGGTGTCAGGTAGGTACCTATCCGGCCGCGAAATCGCCATAAAAACACCGCCTTTTTTATTAAACATGCATAACACACTTATGCGGAACAACAAATTTTAACAAGGATTAGAATGGCTATACCTAATTGTTAGAATATTTCTAGCATTGAATCTAGTTTCAAGAGTTTATAGCAATAAAGGATTGCTTTTCTGAATCTGGTTTTCTTTATAGATGTATTTTTATTCATACTTCAAAATTATTTCTAGGTTCTATTATATAATTCATTGAAGAATCGTTTCCCACAATAGATCTTTTCTCCATCACACATCAACAGTGTATAAGTTGCCACTGCTGACCAAAGGCCTCTTCTCACATGAAAAAGATTTGAGCAATAATGACAACATTGCTCAATGCGGGTCGGCGAACTAATAAATTAGAAATTATAAAGCCACCTGGCTTTATAATTCCTTTCCTTACGATGTTTTCCTTTCCCGTTTGTTAGTAGCGTCTACACAATCTTATAAAGTACATATGAATAACTCGGAATAAGTCACATTGGTATTCCACAATTCTACACAAATTGATATCATATCACGCCCAAATTGCCACTGCAACAACAATTGGTAGAACTGTAAACGAGTAGTTGAAATATAGTGAACGGTATCGTGTTGGCTTTATTGGTTTTGATTTGTGAAATTATGCATTAAATTTTCTGGTAAATTCTGTGGTTTAGATGACCACATTGTTAAATGTAATATATTCACTTAATGTTTCAAAAGAACGTAGCTTTCGCATTACTCTTTTTAAGACTTTTAAGACCCCATTATTACCAACCTCTCGTAATTTGATGGAATCCCTAAACTGAGATAGGTGACATTTAACGATATTTTGGTTTTCACCTACCTATAAGTGGTATCTAAAAGTAGAGGTAAGGGGTTAGTTTAGGTGCTGCCTCACGCTTAGTTAAAAGTGGTTGGCGAAAACGGTTGTAGGACTAAAGTAATTTACTCTGAATCCCATGTTACTTAAGTGACATAACCATAATCTCCACGTCGCGGAGAACCTAACGGGTAACCGGGGCTCCGGCTCGACGTGCAGGAGAAGGAACGGGGTGATTTTTAGTCAGTAAGAGTCTGACACTCCCTCCCGCCTCACCCAGGCGGGAGTAGTCATTCGATGATTTTCCCCCCTTAAAAAAAAAACCATAATCTCCACACTTGGTTGTGAAGTTCATATTCAGACAGAGTGCGCAATTTCCTATAGCTGACTTTAGTTTATAATAGTGCCTATATCATCCACATAAAATACTGTTTTAAATACATTAAAAAATCACGACCAAAAATGGAGAACACACGATTTTATATCACTCTAAGAGTCATTGTGTGTCGTAAAAATAGTAATTAAAATGGCGTGCAGGGTTATAATTACGTCACTGTAACCGTTAAAGGAATGTGAACCTTATTGCTCT